TGCACTACCAGGAAAAAAGCACTTCAAAGGATTCAGAACAAAGTTCTGAAGATGATTTTGAAGTTTCCTCCCTGGTACAGTACTACCGAGGTACATAGAATTTCGAATGTTGAGACTTTAGAACAAATGTCCAACAAAATAATTAATCATTTCAGGTACGATTTGCAACGATTAATTCCCTTAATACTTAGATAAGATTTAGTTTTAGTTTTTAGTTTAAAGATTTCAATTGATATACTGACATGAAGAAAACCTGTTTAAAATACTGAATTGCCAAGGCAGGAACAATGTAAAAACAGTTAGATATATATCATAACTATTAAGGCTGGTAAGTTACTGAAGTAACTGGAGCACCTAGGTTAAAATGCAAATTATTTTGAATTTGGAACAAATAAAGAGTTAAAAAATCTCAATTCGCGATAAAGGTCATAAATATGGAAAACCCAAATTATGACTTTGGGCAAATCAACGGAGATAATCGAATATAAATAAAAATACTAAACATCTAACCACCCCGCAAATCGCACCACCGGACAGTCTTTTAATCAAGATATTTCAACTTTAATTTAATATTACATCCACTTGGATACATAATAATTATGTTAGAAGAACACCTGATGAGACCTGAATCTCCCTGCGCTTTGGTCAGAGAGCGTATAGGGCGTCGTTGTGCCAATTTGGTCGTGGCACATTTCGAGTATGAGAGAGTGATTGCAGTTTGCTCAAAACTGCCTGAGTAAAATGCAAGTATTTTCGATGATTACCCGTAGTTGTTACAGTGAAGATATACACCCATATTCTCGTTTATGTCTGGACGTGTTTGCCATACAGAAACATTTTTATTTGATTTTGTGTGGTGGATGGGTTTCGGGCGTGGATATGGGTGATAATATTAAGTTTACGTTAGGATAACGTTGAAACATTGATAAATGTATCGCTTCAGTTAAAGAAGCACTTCACTTCGCAACCGATGAACCATTCTGACGGCCCACATTGCCGTGCAGGCGCCGTGTGTTGGCAGGGTCCAATATTGGACAGTTTGACGTTTATAAAGTACCATCAGTTAAAACTGTATTTTTGAACTTTATCTCTATACATTCTTAGATGTTTCTTAGTAGATTATCATGTTGGTGTAAGCTGATTCAAAGAGTAAATGGTATTAACATTGAGCTGTCCATAGTTGGGCGTTGTTGAACTTCTGGTACTTGCACAACATTTCATGTGAATACCAAAGTAACCATATAATCACAAAATAGCTTTAGGTGTGGGTTCAGAGTGGTACAATGTCACTGAGATATGGTTAGTTGGGTATTCAGATGAAACTATTACTTTAAAAAACTAATCCTGGTTGTATCTCTTTTTCGTTTTTTCGTTTGCATGTAACACTGTTTGATATTACTAACCGCACCGAGCCTTCATTCCGGATGGTGAGTGAACCTGAAGAAGAAGAAGAAGACCATAAACCCCTTCTCGGAACGAGTGTTTTGTTAGTGGACCTGGTCTGCGATTCAAGGTTGGACTCTGTGATGATAAGTATCACATAACAGGTAAAGTAGGCAGCATCATCTTTATCGAAATGTAAGTATTATTGACAATAATCATAACTAGATTATATGCAAATTTATATGATAGGTACCTGGATCAACGTTGTTTAAACATCCGCATTCAATCGTGACGGCATCTAATTCTGCATTTTAAACCTACCCAACCCTTTTCCTTTCTACAATCCCTGAGCCGTTGGTTCACCATAAGTGTACCTCGCAGAACTTTTTTAACCCCCATGGGTAAAGATGCTGTGTTGCTCACTCCTCTCCCCTTCCCTGGTGTATTATGGATGGTGTGAATATTCACATCGGTGACATGGCCCCTGACCCCCTTGTACATCATAAAATGAAAATAAAATGAAAATGAAAATGAAAGAACACCTGATGAGACCTGAATCTCTCAAAATATTTTAATCGATAGAAACCATGAGCAAGAAACATTGATTCAACAGCACAGCGAAGGGCAGACTGTGATGAATAACATAAACCACCCCATACCGAAGCTTACTTTCGGAAACATCCGCTTTCACTACAACTCAAATTAGAAAACCTTTCAATGCTAATACTGTTTGTTTAAACTTCAGCTTCAACTGAGGAAAACCGATTGTTTGAAAAATAAATTATAACCAATGTCCGACTATATCGTCTTGTTTTTCTGAAAATTTATGGTAGAAATTACAAAACACACACCACACAAGTCTCCGTAGAAAGGGCCTATGCATACCCTCCATAGCGGTGATTTATTTAAACAGTGACGTCCCCCAAACCGATGTTTACCTTGAACTTACCCTTCCCCGCCCTTGTTTGACATCCTAATAACCGTCTCGAAAAGGGCCCCACGACGACCTACGCTGCTCCGAAGAATAGGAGCGAAAGTCAATCCACACAGAGGCCTATTAAATTTCCATTTTCCCATCGTATCCGCCCGGCACGGCGCGGCGCCACATTCTCGTTTCGTCGTTTGTCAATGAATGCAATTCAGCAGCATAGAGCTGCATATTCAATTACACTCGAAAAGCGTTTTCTTTCGTGGTATCATTACGCCCGGGATGGCAATAAATCATGTAAACAATACGGACCGCTACCAGCGCTACTCTCCCTCATTTGGCGTAGTAAATATGGCATGGCAATGCAAGCCAGCGACATTCAGAAGCCACCGTGGCCTTTGTAGACCACGTGAATCGTGCCCAGTGGTGATTAGCTCCGGAGCGGTCACCATCAGTATAGCGTGCGCTATCAATTTGAAAAATGCACACTCGCACCTTCGATACGCTCACGTTTATGTAGGTACTCGAAAGATAGTTCTGATGGAGAGGTAGGCAGTTTGGATGGAGCCTAAGCGATATCATCGCTAAGTGGTCTCAACTTTACTCACTCTTACTTTTTCCAATTGACAAAACAAATATTGATTCTCCGGAGTGATGACATTCAAGTCAATGAATTTCAATAATAAACATGTCCAGAGATGTTTGATTTCTGACTGTTTTGTTCATTATTTGAGTTCAGGGAATGTAAAAGTTACAGAAGGACTTGTAACGTAAAAATTTAAAATGCAATATTATTATTAGTTTAACAACTAACTTTTTCATAGCCATGATGAAAATCCTCAATTTTTTTTACAATGGGGCTTATTACTGTTTGGTTGAAGCTCTGTTCATTGAATACATACAAATGCTCAACCATTACGAACTGTAACTTTGCTTTACCAGTGAGCTTTTACACCTCTTCATTTTATCACAAGCAGGGGTTGACGTCTCCGATGAGTCAGTGCGGCAAAAGTTAATTTAATTTCGGGAAAAGGGTGTGCGCTGACCAAACATAGGCAGCATTAATAAACATTTCCCAGCGAAAGTTACGCTCGCCATCTCTATCAACTGAGCCCAAACTGAATCGCCGATATTTGAGCAACCAATTAAGCGGCTCAGGTAATCCAAATACCCTTGACACTTTCACGCCGGCGTCGTGACCATTGGTGGGTGTCGAATTCCATATTTCCTATTCGGAGTGGCGAGCATCCAGCGAAGCGTCTCGCAAAGATCAAGTTCAATGAAAGGCACTGGATAGTTCACGTTCACACCGCTCGCTCGCTCGCTCACTGGGTGGTGGGTGGGAAGTTGAAAACGACACCGAATCAATGTGCAGGCAGACCGACCCCTAAGGAGAGGAACAATGTTTATTTATCACTGCCCCGCACATATCTATCTCGGTCTTCGGTAACATCGCCGGTGATGATTGCACAGCATTCCTCATCTTTTCTCGTCCTCCATCTCCCGGGTCGGCGAAGTCGTGGTGGGTGCACTCTGTGGGAAAAGTTAACAACAATGACTCCATTAGCGCACTAAATGATGAAGATTTAGTTTTAATTAAAACTGACCATTCGAAAGGTTTGTGTCGTGTCATTTTCAAGGTGCTTTCACTTGATGCGAATCTTATTTAGATATTAATTACAAATATTTTCGTTTGTTGTCAGATTACGAAATGGAAATGTATGCTCAATTTGTGCAAAATCTGATTTCAAGAACAAAGCAAACAACCATTTGCACTGTGTACCTATTTACCTTTGTTTAACTTTCGTTTTTATCGGTCGATCAACAATTATCTAACAAATTGCTTTGACGGTGCATTGCACGTCGCTGATTAGTATTGTTTTTTATTTGTGTGTTTTCCATCGTTCGAGTCGTCTGGAGGATGCGCGCGAGCTAAGCGATATGTTTGCTTCTCACGATGGTAAGCAAGGGACGACGACGGCACTCGACATCAACGTCTTCATAATCAATGGCGAAAGTCGCAAAAATAATCTCTGATCAACCGGACAGTGCCCATTAGGCTTAATGTCGTAATCTTGAATTGTTTCAGTGCCTTCCATTGGTGCTGGTTGGGGTTTTAAATCTCCTGGCATACAAGAGCGAGAAGACGTTCTTTGATGGAATTGATGCTTCTGGAACCGCGTTCACGTTAGATTGGTCGCTTACATAAAGGGCACTGGATTGGACAAAAACTGTACTGCCATTGGGTGTAGATTAAACTATAATTGAAAAGATCAGTCTGGACTGTGGAGAATGAAGACCACTCCAACTATGGATATAATATCAATAATTTTTCAAAAACGTTTAAAGTAGTGATTGATCGTCAAATGTAGACCCTGCCGTATAATATGGATGAATTAACTGCTAACTTCCACAACTATTGTTTTAGGATAAGTTTAAGAGATGTTTTAATTCAATTAGCCCGGAACAAATCTCAAGCTTTCTTTTGGGTTTCTTGAAAAGCTGCTTGTAATAATCCTGCTTGTGATTTTCAATTTCAGTGAACAATGCTAGCATCTGCTTAATTACTCCCAGATCCACGGCATGCATATAATCCACTGGATATCCTGCTATGATATCAAACTTCTCTATGTATGTAAAAACAGATTTCCCCACGATTCCATATGATTCCTTTCTTGTATGATTAACATCATCCATAATTTTTCGAGTGATTATAACGCATTTCTGAGGCTTTGTGTCCATTGTGGGTGCTTCTAGTTTCTCCCGGGTGAACACACAAAGTGCAACCATACAGTCCATTAAATTGCTTGCTACATTGCACTTTACAGCGGACTACTGAATCTAAACAGTTTTGCAAAAGAACAACTTTGTATCGCTCGCCTCCAATTAATTTTCCTTCTTGTAATTTACGCAACTCAAGGCAAAAATATTTGAATAATAAATTTGGGTTAGGCTCTCCATTGGACAACCACAAACCTGCCACCATTAGATTACTCTTTTGGAACCGAATGGCTGGAGGCAAATTATTCAACGTAAAAAAAAATGTAGAAGGGTCTGTGCCTAGGGGCACGAATGGAAGCTTGACGTAGGACCGCTAGTGGACGGAACAAATGTGAACGTTTTTTATTTGTAAGCGCATCAAATTTGTAGTAGGGGAATTTACGTATTCTCGTCAATCTAAGCAGCGTCCGCACTTCTATTAGCATTTTCTCAGCGTCACGCACATATATGACGTGTCTGTTTGTTTACATTCATCTGATGCTTGCTTCTCTATGCATTCCAATCGACAGAATTTTTCAAAACGTTTTGAAAGCGTTTTTACAACCCTCCAAACTTCTCAGGTGAGTGTGACTATTGTCGGCAGCCTCTTTTTCTTCGGCAACGTTCCCATTAGAACTGCGTGTTAACCAGCTGTTCTATTATCGGCAACTCGAAATCGACCCCATTTTGTAGTGCGTATGCTTCATTTGAAGAAAAATGTGGCATTACTGGATTGCTCGATCGTACAAATATAATCAGATTGAAGCTGACAGGCTAAACAATCGTTTGGATACATTCAGGGAAGTGGGTTGATGGGAAAACATAGTGAAATTAACGTTTAAATTTTGGTTGCCGAAAACAGTCAATGGGTGCCGAAGCCAACATTTACCCTATTTATTTCAAAGAGAAAACTGATGAAGAGAATCCAAGGGACTGTCAACTTGAGTATTTTCGATTCATCTACCCCGACTTTAAAAGGTGTATTTTGAATTTTTTGTTATTTATGAATTTTTTAGTTTTGTGCATTTTGGTATTAAAGTGTATTCAATTCACCCCTCACAGGATTTCCTTCCGAATTATATGAATGGGGCGGGGCGGAAAGTATCGTTTGTGCAGAATATGTAGAAAAGGAGGGACTTCGAGGAGATCGAAGTGTGCTCTGCTTCTGTACGGACGCGAAAAATTCCCGAGTGTCAAATTTACGGTTTTATTTTTTCTTGGCGTTTTCTAATTTTAGTGCAAGAAAGTGAAAGTGATCGGTTGGAAATGCATTCCAAAGTGTTTTCGTTTATCATAATCCTTTTCATCAGAACTATTATCAGGCGATTGGCAGTCTGGCCCGATGGTTCTGATTGGAAGCAGGTGCAAGAGCTTCTTTGAAGATCCGAAGGAATGTTATGACATGTTTAGCTTGAATTAAGAGATGCAACAGTCTTTCAAGTATTGGCTTCACGTGCAAACCATCGTTCATTTGGTGAGTTCGTTCCAGTTTATTTGTTTACTTGTTTCGATACCATCTATCAGTTTTCTACAATTTTGTCTTGGACATCTTTTCGAAGAGCCACGTTCATGCTGTAATTTGTCGAGCGCACAATTTTCACACGTTGAGATCGAGTAGGAACGGCAAGAGAGTCATCCAAGTGCTTTTGTTTCTGGTTTTAGACGTTTGATCATGGTGGGTCTGAAGAGTTTCTGTTGAGCACGCTGATAAGTACTGACAGTACTGAAGCAAAGGGTTATGTTTAATTTCTTTATATTTGCAACGATGATGATTTCCTATAGTGACCCATATCACCATCAGTATGCCTCAAACGATTAATTCTTGGTTGTTAATAGAACTTCCTTGATGAAATCGGCTGCTTCATGCAGACTGAGCAATTCTGATTATAGTATCAGATTTGTTCTGTATACAGAGGAACTGGGAGGGCTTATTAGAAACTTCTCACCAATAAAGTAATGATCTTCTAGTAAATTTTGCCTATCATTTTATTAATATTTTATTTTATTTAAGCATATTATTTTTGTTACAGTCAATTAGCATTAGCATACGATACAAGAGATTTAATATTACTTGCTCGTTTTTGCGTTAAATAATCAATATTTATTTTACTTGTTATTACCTTTGAATGTTTTTTTCAAGTTTTTTTTTGTGATCTGAAAATTTTCCCAGTTTGGTTAGAAGTTTCGAAGCTAACGCATGTCCACAGGCCCAATAGAAAGATAGGCAGAAAAAGAGTATCATGAAGAATGGTTGCATGCAGGGTTGCTTCCATTCACTTGCTATAGATGAGTGATTTTCGTAGTTTTGAATTCGTTAGATGTTGTAATGGAGATTTGTGTTGTTGGATGCGGGAGGAGATTGGAGGGCGGGTGTTTGACGCATAGAGCCTGTCAATTTCGATTTCAGAGTGCCGCAGTCGGTGGTTGTATGATTCGTGAGCGCTCGCGATTCGTAGAATCGTTGATTGTGACTGCAAGTGGATTTGGCGAGTTTTGTGTGTCGGACGCTTGCTTTTTGGCCTCTTCTTGTGTCTAACATGTGCAGAGAATCATTATAGCGTCTAATGGTTTTGAGATTCCTGGTTGCGTGAAATATATTTGTAAAAATATCTTTTTGAGATTTTAGTAGTCACGTTTTGTTTGTAGTTTATATTTTATTTCTTTCATGTAATCATCGTAAATAATAGTTATTCAATAATAGATAGTTCATCCATATATTCGTACTTTGACGCGAAGCGCTGTGGATTATGAGATGCTCGATGACCCTGGAGGGATCGATTTTGCTTACTGAGCAGAAAATCATGGGTTTAATCCCAAGCTCTTCGTCATGACTCTTAAAATTCATTATCACTAAACAAAATTAATATGTTCTTTCGATAGCCGGCTATCGAGAGATTAAATAAACAATGCATACTTTTGGTTGCATCGCCAACTCGAGGTGAATCCTAACCGAATACCCTACCCAACCCTCCAACTCCGTAGCACTTATGAGGGTGTCGCTAAGTCGGTGGCCTCTCGTTAAGTAAGTACTACATCAACATTTCCTTCCCTATCCCTAGTTATGGTAAAGATGGGCGTGGCCGGGAATAGCGACAGTCATGCTTCTGTTACTCTTGTTTAGATTGGAACCAATGTTTACTCCCCAGCATTATTCCTGAAAGTAGTCTAACTGAGAAATTCAGAAGAGACGTGAGTGTCGCTAGTATCCAATCTACGAAGTATACCATAACAACGCTAACGCTAACGCTATATGTAGAAAAGGAGGGACTTCGAGAGATTGAACTCGTGAGAGCTAATTTTCTCACAAATTTGATTTTATTGGCTTTCTGGGGACTGAATATATACTCTAAGCGAATTATTCCCACTTCTCTCAAATTCTATACGGATTTTTAACACTTCCTACCAGCGTGTTATGGAAAATGGTCGGACGATGATTAATCTCACCAATACATTCGGGCCTACAATTCCATACCTTATATAGAGACCAGGTTGAGCCTTGATAGCTAGCTGCTTGCGGGAACTGATGACCTAGACAAATGTCCAAATAATACTCTTAACAAATTTATGTTGGTCCTGAAAACGACCATTTTGTAGTGATGGTTGAGTAATGCTGAGCTGAGCACGACGAGCTACTGATTCCGATCCTAGCCTAGCGGTGAGACTTCTTCCTCCTTCTCTATGGTTGCCCATATGAGCTCTGCAGCTCGCTGCTTGCAGGCAGCCTTTCGTTGTTGTTGTTGTTGTTGAAAGCACTCCTGCTACTGCTGCTGCTCCTACTACTGCTGCTGCTGGACTGGACACCACCACTTACGGTGATTGAATGAGCACCGTTCAGTGGGACCGCATCGAATTCGATTTCTAAGTCTGTGTTAGGGAATGCGCTGTTTTCAGACATTTGGTGATAATTTTGATCACCATTGCAACAGTTGGACATTTGGTATTTTTCAATAGTTTATAGGAAAGTTTGAACATACTGAGAGGTAAGCACATATCATCGGTAAGAGACGGGTGTGTGAGAAAATTTGCGAAAAAATCTAAGGGCACCGGTGGGATTCGAACCCACAATTCCCATTCAGTACACGGGTGCATTGCCAATTATACAACGGAGGACCTATGGTCTACGGATGTATTTGGCTAATGACATTTGAGTTTCGAATCCGTTCCCCACCCTAGTCTTTTTGCGCAAGCGTTCTCTGATACACAACAATCGTCTATTATCGACGATATGTGCTTGTACCGCAACCACTCAGTATCAGTCGATGTGAACAAACACAGCTCATTTTTGTTGTTCATCTTACATGCTGAAATATGTCCAGTACAGTATGACTCTAACATTTTGAGCTGCCGGCCTCACCTCCGACCACCGGGCCGTAGTTGATGAATATCAATTACTTTTACTTTTTGATTTACGGTTTAGCGACTTTGCAGTCAATTTAATTGTTTATAGGAAAGTTTGAACATACTGAGAGGTAAGCACATATCATCGGTAAGAGACGGGTGTGTGAGAAAATTTGCGAAAAAATCTAAGGGCACCGGTGGGATTCGAACCCACAATTCCCATTCAGTACAACAATTAAATTTTAATTTGTGATACAATACGACGGAAAAATGAGTAATCGCATATAGGTCGGAAATTTGCATTCTATACGATTTAACTTAAACATAATGCGAGGTATGTCATTCTTATATGCGATTTTGACTTAAACTGTAGCAATTTACGATACTGTCTGTACATTATTATACGACTTCTGGTTGTCTGGGTAGCCAAATACATCCGTAGACCATAGGTCCACCGTTGTATAATTGGCAATGCACCCGTGTACTGAATGGGAATTGTGGGTTCGAATCCCACCGGTGCCCTTAGATTTTTTCGCAAATTTTCTCACACACCCGTCTCTTACCGATGATATGTGCTTACCTCTCAGTATGTTCAAACTTTCCTATAAACAATTAAATTGACTGCAAAGTCGCTAAACCGTTTTTCAATAGTGACCTATTGAAAATTAACTAAGTGTTCATTTTAGCAGATTGGTAGATAAATTTCCAATCGTTTGGCTTGTTTATAATTAAAATCTATCTGCCATTGGTCGAAACCTGACCTCTTTTCGTAATGCTGTGCATTTTGGTTTTTTGAAATTGCGTGGATTCTATAGATCCTGTGGAGATCTATCTAGCCCTGATGTATGTGTTGGTAGGGGGAAAATGTAAACTTTGCGGGAGACGATGTCTTAACACTCGAAAGCAATTTTGTGAAATATGAAGTAAAACAAATCCTGGCTAGTTCTGCATGATGATTTTGTTTGATTTTATTTATTTGTTAAGTCGCTGGGAAATACCAGCTGGCGATTTGTTTTTTTTTTTATGATAACTCCTTACTTGAAAACAGGCAAAAACTCACAAACAGGCTGCTTTTTCATGGCATACAGTGTGATAATTCAATAATCAATAAATTATCTCAACATTTAGTGGCAAACCATTCATAAATTTTGGTAACATACAAAAAATTCTGTAATCCACATTAAATTTCATATGTAAGCGCCGATTGAAACAATCTTTTCGACGTCACTACAAGGGCGATTGATTAAACGAAAGAAACGAATCATGCGGAATGAAAGCCGAGGAAAAACTAATTGCACCAATATATTCAGGCCTACAATTCCACACCTTCTATAGACAGGTTGAGCCTTGATAGCAAGCTGCTTGCGGGAACTGATGACCTTGAACAATGTCCAAATAATACTCTTTAACAAATTTTTGGTGGCCCTGAAAAGGACCGTTTTGTAGTGAAGGTTGAGTAATTCTGAGCTGGGTGTTCAACACGGATGATGTCGAGCTGTATGTCGTTTGGAGCGAGGGTGACACGCATGGCATAGATGACCGACCCGCAGCGACTCACGGAGAGCTACTGATTTGCTACATAGCATAGCGGTGCAGCTTTTTCCTCCTTTGATGGTTGCTTATGTGGGCTCTGCAGCTCGCTGCTTGCAGGCAGCCTTTCGTTGTTACTGGAGAACAATTTTCAACGCCATACGCCGAAAGCACTGCTACTGCTGCTACTGCTGCTACTAATTTCGACGACCGAACACCACCACACAGTGGTGTGGTCGTTGGGAGCGTGTGGCTCTGAGTATGGCGATGAGTGTGCAAAATATTACGCAATTCCATCCTCCCTATTCGCACGCGCCCGAGGATCGGATGCGAATGCCACTTCGACTTGTTTCGTCTACTTACTACTCTCTGACGACTGTGCTGGGGAAGCAGCATATGCATGTAGGTAATTGGTGGATTTGTTAGTTAATTCGACGCTTTTGGACAATGCTGGACATTTACCAGTTTTTCAATAGTTTCTTGTTGAAAATCAACATTCGGAAGCATTGTTATCGATGCGTAGCCATATTTCTGATCGATTGGTGATACAATTATTGAAATTGGACCAGGGGCAGCTGAGTTATTAACGTTCAAAATCTTTCTTAATTTGTTACATGTTCCATTTTCGGTTTTCACAAAGTGAACCCCCATATAGAAATCAAAGACGTAGTCCTACGTCAAAAATCATTTTCTGGATATTCACAGATAGGACATATTGCTGCTGTTTCAGGCTGATTAGCACCATAGTCGTATTGACAGTTTGAGAAAAAATATATTCTGACTGGTGGGCATGAATATGCATCGAATAAACTTGAAAAAGTTTTAAATGATTCTGGAAAAGTTTTAGTGCCTGATATAATATTCATCATCCGCAGAAAATCCTCTAAAGCTTCTTGTGTAAGATGATGTCGAATATAATAGTTCAGAATCATATACAAAATCTCAGCCGTCAGTAAATCAAAGTGAACTTGGAACTGTTTGGTATGATTTTCGGAGAATATCTGAAAGTAGTAGAGGATGCAGAAGAAACTTTTATAACAGTATGCTGAATTTATACCTTGAAAAAATCATTCCAACTGCCTTGTCGATCTTGATCATCCTCTGTGTGCTGACTTACAACGGTTTCTTGTGGAACGAGCACAGGTCCTATAACGTTCACATTGATTGCTCCATTCTCTCGATCTTGAGTACGCTGGGAGGAAAGATCTTCTGGTTGGTCGTTTGGAACGTCTTCAGCGAGCTGACTTGGTGGATTGAGAGTCACAGGTGGAGTGATATGTTCATGCGGATTATCGGCAACTTCATCACAGCCTAATACTTCCACGTCATTTGAATTGTTGATGGTTCTGATGCTGGACTGATAGTAACAAAAACTATAACTTTTGTAAATATTTTTTTTATATCACGTACGTGTTTACCCTTTTTTCGTACTTATGCCCTTCATATATTGGTGAAAGATAATGATTTCGCCTTCTCCTTGGCTTCATTATGTACAATAATCGTACGCATAAATTAAATATTTATAAAACAGATTCACTTTATAATAATGAAATCTCCAACAGTCAACAAGCAGTGCTGACACAATGAAGTACAAGAGGTTCGGCAATGAGAATTAGCCATCTCGGTCATTATCCCGTTGCTTGTGTGCAACACTGAGTTTGACGTCACATGCATAAGAAGAACGGAAGAATGAAAGAGATAAAACATCCACATTTTCAGACCGGTTCTTTACGTTATTGGTGTTGACAGCCAAATCAAGGAATGTAGTTTTTTCTCTCAAATAGGTGGTCTACGATATGATCACGATATACACTGAAAAAAAATACAAGTGTAACTTACATTGGATGCAAACACTAAGATTTTGTTTCCGTGTTCGGTAAATTTTACCGAAATCAGAACAGCTGAACGTTCGGTAAAACTTTGAACTTCATGTTAAAGGCTATTGAATTTGAAAATAATATCAAAACATGTTCAATCTTGTTTAAATGATCAAAATTTGTCATTTTAGTGGAGATTTAGTTTCAAAGTAACTGAAAAGCAATTGAATTGAATTGCATAAATTTTACCGAAAAGTAATAATATGGTTATACCATAGAGGTAACTCTAATAGTACGTTCAGACTACAGAGTTATAACATGTTATAGCGCTATCTTGATGGTGGTTTCTGTGTTGCAATTAGTTGACAACCGTTATAACATGTAATAACTCTCCAGTCTGGACAGCGTTTAATGCCTTGTTCAGACTACAGAGTTATAACATGTTATAGCGCTATCTTGATGGTGGATTCTGTGTTGCAATTATTTGACAACCGTTATAACATGTTATAACTCTCCAGTCTGGACAGCGTTTAAGACTAGAAGGTCCCGAAACAACGTGCTCAACTTTTTGCCTCAGCTCTGGTACTCTCTTCGGTCCCAAGCTAATCGATTCACCTCTCGAAACATAGGAAAACCCAATCACCCCTCATTTTATCTGTCAAACTTTCATAGCCAATCAAAACAAACATTGCGTAGTACTAGAATTTCGACTAGAATGGGGTACGTTAATCGTTTGCTTGGGATCAATAGGCTAGTCAAGTAGTGAGCCAATTGGGTTCTTTAATTTTGAAAAATGTATCGTTTTTTATACATCATCTGAAAGAGCTTCGTTTTCGGAGCACAGCGATATTTTTTTCGAACCCACACACTTTCATCTCGATTTTTAAATCAAGATTTAAAGCAAAATAATAACTTCACTGTTTGACACTAATAGTACGTTCAGACTACAGAGTTATAACATGTTATAGCGCTATCTTGATGGTGGTTTCTGTGTTGCAATTATTTGACAACCGTTATAACATGTTATAACTGCTCAGTCTGGCCAGCGTTTAAACTAACAAACTGACAGCTCACTCCCATACAAAGTGACACCGAGGGGCGCTAATAAGGTGATTTTTGCAAATGTAAACGTACTTATTTAAAATAGTTCCAGTGTACCAAAATTGATGAAATTTTGGGTTTGGGTTCCATTTTTAATGAATATTACGAATGTGCATTTACCTCAATACCCTTAAAGAACCCAATTTAAAATCGTTAGTTTCGTATTGATTGTTGGTATTACCAAGCCGGAGGCGGCGGGTTTGATTCCCCGTCCGGTCGAGGGAATCTTTCGGGTTGAAAATTTTCTCGACTTCCCTGGGCATAGAGTATCAACAAAGATGAATACTAAGATGAAACTGTCGGAAGAAAAACTTTCTATTTTATTGTCCTCTTTCACTGTCCCTTTCATCTAATGAATACCTCCCGTATTCAAGGTAATTTTGTGGTTTTGCTGCCCCCTCGGTAGAGATGAAATTTTGCGCTCATTTTCATCAAAGCAATCACACCAAAATCAGAGATGTCCCATTTTTTAATTACTCGATTAACAACTAATCGATTATTTTTTGTTCGCTGTACTGCCATTTTTCCACCAATGAGAGTGCAGCACATGTTTGAAACGATCGGTGATGATCCTCTGGAGAAGTTAATGCTTATATCTGCATGATATAACCGATTACAAATATTTTACTTTTCGGTTCGTTAATCGATTAATCGATAATTCGAATGAAAATTGGCCATCACTAGATGAATGTGAAACGTCATTTCAAATATATGGACCGTACATAAATAATGATACAATTTGAAAGGGACCGGGGCTAATCACAAATTACGTCCCCCGGTAACTGAAATAAACACGAGTGCTCACCGGTTGGTATCAATGTGCTTGCCACACAATATACAAATTCACATTCACAACATACAAATGTTCCATAATGTTATGACAAATAGTTTAATGATTTTAAAATTGATCATACAAAAACTATATGTCTTATATTAAACCTGAAACTTTGTTCTAAAATATCGACCTTATTGAATGGTAATTATACTTAACCGCCTATCCCATATAGTTGTTTTGCATAATACAATATATGGTATCCTCAGGACAATTCATGGTATTGTATGCTTATCGTTTTTATACATGCTGACTAGAATCGTACGGATATACTTATTTATGGTACATAGTGATACTGTGAATCATCCTTTCAATGATTACGATTATGTGGGTGACTACCATAATCATTACAATTAAAGTTCTCAAGCCATAAATAAAAAGGTCCTAATATAGTTCCCCTTTAGCGGCGCCGGTGGTGTAGTGGTAAGCGTGAACCTCTCACCCTAGCAGGCCTGGGTTCAATCCCAGTCGGCGCCGCCGGATGTTCTGAGGCATAACATCTCTGATCATGCCTTCCTTTGAAAGGGAAGTAAAGCCGTTGGTCCCCAAATCATGAGTTGATGGGTCAATAAATAGGATCCAGGTGTGGGAGCTGCCTCCCTGGCGTCGGTAACATTGGTGCTCAGCACGGAAAACAAGTTCAACGGAAAACAAATCAAGGAAAATAAAATATAGTTACCTTTCCGAAAACGTATGAAGAAATCAAGCATTTATTCAACCTATATACAATTTAAAAAAAACAAACGAGTTACTAATCATTCAAAACCAACCAGCTAGGTGTTACTGCTATCTTATTCACCTTGCCTTGACAAGAGATATCATCATTGTAAGCCTCATAATTATAGTTGTAAACATATAGAATATTGAAGACTGAATTTTTAAAAAGGCGTGACTGATATTTCTGATATTGTTAATATTTTTTTCAAAAAAAAACTTATAATAACAAATAACGGCATTGAGTTCTGATTATATAAAAAGTTTAAATGGTTGACAAAAGTGATAAACTTTCCTCAGTGCAGACAAATAACAAAGTGCAGGCATGCAATTGATTACAAAAACCTAGGAGCGTATCAGCTGATACCAACTAATTTCTCGAAAAAATAAATCCTATTCACTATTGGCTACTTTTTGCCCACAAAAGTTTAACTGATTACCAAAAATGAGTAATAATCTGTTCCCACAACAGATCATAATATGTAACATAAGCATCCCTTCCCTTATATTAATGTTTCAGTAACATTTGTTTATAAAAACCAATCAATTAAAAAAAATTTGGGTACTTTTAACCCACAGATGAGAGTTACCCATCTACCTAAGTAACTGTTCTTCATATTTGAGTAATAGTTATCCACCTGTACTATTGAAAATAGTATCGGTTGCATGAATTAAAAAAAATGCCTATTTTTTAATGACAGTGAATTTTGTTGTGTGTATTGATTGCAGTCATTTTATTATGGCAACCTTAATTGTGTTGATCAACTACTATCTTCGCATCGACTTTTTCACGAAGAGCTCTCGTCACCACGTAAACGGTTTTTCCATTCGGTGCTCTTTTTCCTCGGTTTTATTAGAAATTATTACAAATAAAATGGTGCAAACTCGAAAAAATGGCAACAAAAAGAAAACACAAAAAGCAGCCGATGCTGCGAACATGTCATTCCTGGAAAATGTAAGTATTTCTTATAAAATTAATTGTTAAAAAGAGAAATAAAAAACACTTACACCGGCTTGCACATAACCTCAGTTATTCCGATGTTCCATGTATAGTTAGAATTAATAGTAATCTGGAACGGGGTTTCACTTTAACTTTTACATATTTTCTCTTTACAGCAATCAATCGAACCGCAACCTGGACCTTTGACCAAGAAACAGTGAACGTCGAAGAATGTGACAATCGAGGTAGTTTTTCTAATCGAATTTCAAACAAATCCCAACACTAGCTTTCTATAAGCTCAAAGAAATTGCAAATTAAACTAATAAACTAATTGTCGATCTTATTTTTAACCGACTTTCTTTTTACAGCAAACAATCGAACCACAGCCAGGCAATTCGGACAAACCCCATCGGATGTCTAAAAATGCATCAATCGAGGTTGGTTTTTCAAATGTTTTGGAAGTTAACTAATATTTACACATTAATGTTTGTTTTTAGCCAATGGACTTAAGTAATTCGGCACCGGTAGTGAAATTTGATCATGATGGCCTCGGTAGCATTAAGACGAAGGCTCATGAGGAGATTGAGCATCCTGGTTCGATCCAAGCTTTCGGTGACGTAAGCGTTGATTCAACTGATCAACTGCAGATGAAGTCCGATACATGTCATCATGTTAACGATGATAATTTTCAGGAAACTCAAGCTGCCGTCAACATCTGCAGTGATTCAAATCTCCACGAAGAGTGTAACGCTAAGATTAAAGATCTACAGAAGCAAAATTTGCAGTTGAAAGAGGATAATGCAAAGCTTAAAATAGAGAACTCACAGTTGTCGACCACTCAATTTCAAACGCCAAGAAAAAGTGGTGCAGCACAACAATCGTTTGCTGGTTTTTACGGCAGTTGATGGTTATCCATCATCTGATTGGTTGCTGCGAATATCACAAGTTGCTAACAAAAGTGACTACTTATTCGCTAAAGAGCTTGTAATGGAGTTGGCCATGCAACAGTAACGGGTCGTTCGTCAAACAATCCGAGTGGAAATAAGAAACGCACTGTAGCAAGTTTAGAAGAAACTGAGGCGT